GACGTTTTCCAGATTCGTGCATGTTTTACTAATTTGCCAAAACCAAATGCACAAAACCCAATATAAGTACACTCATATATCTCTAATAACTTGTTATCAGGTATATCCATGACCTCAAGTCATTTACCACAATAGAATTATTTATCATTAATAATTTACATATACTTCTAACAAAAATACGGGGTTTTACAACCTCTCCATCTTGTTTTTCAGAGAAGAATTTCTAAACTCTATTTCTAGCTATTTATTGTTTTGTTCATAATTTCTATATGTTAGAATTTAATTGAGTTTAGTTGATTGTTTTTCTCATTGCTTACACACACTGTTCATAATTTCTATATGTTAGAATTTAATTGAGTTTAGTTGATTGTTTTTCTCATTGCTTACACACATAACCATTGAGCTTATTGTATTTTCATACTTAGTATAATTTGGGTTGTGGGGAGTTGTAACAATTGAGAGTGAGCTACATTGAGTTCTCATTTATTATAGAGAACATATTTGTTGTTACATTGTTAGTGTTGTAAAGTTTTCGATGAGCTAGAAAACCGAGTGTGAGGAGTGAACGTTGATCGGTGAGCGTTGAAAACCGACATTGTGAGTGATTGTGAACGTTGATCGGTGAGCGTTTGTTTGCGTCAAAAGTTGCTTCCATTGATAATTCTATTGAACTTTGGTCGTTTATAATGAATTACAATGAAAAAAATTAGAAAATTACAACTCTTGAGAAACTAACACAGAAGTCGTTTATCGAATCCTGTTTTTTGTGGGACTTTGCCTGTGCCGGGAACGCTTTGGTTTGTGGACCGCCGAATCACAGATCGTGAAGGGGGTTTAATGATTCTTCCTTCGTTTATCGAAGTGAGAATTTGAAACGATATCTTATCAAAGTAAGATAGTCGTTCTTCTTAAAATCAAGTCAAAGCTCAATTTTAAGGAGTCACACGAAAACTCAAATCTGCTCTTTCTGCTCTGGATTGCTCGAAAATATGCTTGATCCTCGTCAGAAATGACCCTAGGGGGGTATTTATAGCCTCATGGGTTTGTAACTGCAAAAGCTTAACAAACGACAAAATTAGTACGGCGAGACAATGTTTACTGTCTCCGCGGGCGAGACAGTGTTTGCTGTCTCGGCCCGCGAGACAGTAAATATTGTCTCGAAAATAGTAACCGTCAGGCAGTTTTCATTTTAACTGCCTTCCCACGTTTCAAACTCCGTTATTTTGGCAGTTATTCACGTGATTTTCGCCCACGATGCTTTCCACGTCTCTTGACAGTTGATGGACACGTGTAGGGCAGTTATCAAGGTGGTTTTGACCATTTCAACACTGTCTCGCTGGCGTGATGGACACGTGTAGGGCAGTTATCAAGGTGGTTTTGACCATTTCAACACTGTCTCGCTGGCGAGACAACAAAGCCTGTCTCGCTGGCGAGACAGCAAAGCATGTCTCGCTGGCGAGACAGTTCATACCTGTCTTGATTTTTCAAAAATAGTATGAGATCCCTTTGAGTGATCTTCTCTATGTTTGGGATATCTATTAACATTTTTTTGATGCCTACAGTATGAGATCCCTTTGAGTGATCTTCTCTATGTTTGGGATATCTATTAACATTTTTTTGATGCCTACAGATACCCCCTCCAAAGTATTCCAGACTCATTCTGTTATAGAGGAGCATGGGATACTTTGGATAAGATAGATTTTACTTACGATCCCATCAATGCTTGGTTGAGTAGATCGTGTGAAAGGACTTGTGAATGTCTTCAATGCTTGATCTCTTCTGCTTTTAGTCTATTCAGTTCTTTGTAGAATAGCTAATGTTTTCCCGGCGTCGCGTTTATCGCTTGACCGTTGTCGAGATCTTGAATTGAAGTTGGTACTTGCTCTTGTGGGTTCAGATTTTATCACTGAATTGATATATCCATTGAGAGCTCATCAGGTTATCCTTAAGAATATTCAGATTAATATTCTCCAGAAACTTCCTGTTGGGCATAGGGAAACAGTTTAGACTCGTGTACCCATGGGAGTACTCATGTGTATCACACCATCGTTGCCATTTTGTAATACGAGACAGTTCACATTGTCTCGCTGTGCGAGACAGTAAATATCACTGCTCTCGCTGGCTGTACGAGACAGCATTTACTCGTCTTTCCCCACGTGCTGAGTACAGTGTATGCATGTCTCGCGGTGCCGCATCGACGAATATTTACTGCTCTTGCACCGCCGAGACAGTAAAACCTGTCTCGCTCGGCGAATCGGGGTTATAAAACCCCGACTTAGGGTTTTTTGGAAGCTTTTCACGTCGATTTTTTAACGATTTCTGGCGATTTTCTTGGGCGATTTTCTGCAACTTTCCTGCTTCTTCTTCCTTTCTTTGTTTCTGATTTGGGTGGAGTTCTTGTTCGGGGTGATTCCACTCGGATTTGATAGGTTTGATTTCCCTCTTTTCTTTAAAACTTTGATTTTTTTTTTCAACTTTGACCTTGCGTGCACTGTTTCGGCCATATTTTGTGATATTTTGGTCGACTTCTTGCTCAAAATCCTGACCTTATCGTTGGATTGCAATGTAGATCATACACTCATCATGTCGCCGCGTTGATCCAGAGGTTCCCGAGGCCGTTCGACTGCTCAGTCCCCTGAAGAGGCTGCCCCTGTTGCTGCTTCGCATGGGGGTATGTTTCCTTCACCCTCTCACGAATCTAGATACCGTACTTCATCAATTTCATATATATGTACCTGTATTTGCATGCAGATCCTCGTTTGTATCCTTTGAGATACCCTCGAGAAGAGCCGGTATCCTCCTTTGAGGGGATCGACGCTTAAAAGTGTTTGTTTTGCTTGGACAAAACACACTTCATAATACACAGGGGCGATTTCATATCATCCCACATGTATTGAAAGGTTTTCTTATGCCGTTATAATGCCCGTGCATAGTAACGCATATCTCTTTTATACATGTGGTAGATAGAAAATTGTCACACCTGTTATGAGATAGCGACTATATCTTATGGAGTAAGATATACCGTTTTCTCTAAAATTTTAGGACTATACTTACACAATTTATGTGTATGTGTCTTTTATCAGTCCGATTTCCTTCTACCACCTTTGCTGCTGATGTGGTTACTGGCCGGAGTAGCGTGACCCACTCTTATTATGAGGGGATCCCGTTAATTGAATCATCTCGGCCCGAGAGTTGATTCAACGAGGTAGTTGCCGTATTCTGCGACGGTTAATCACGGACGCAACCTTAATTTCAGAGCAGGACTCAAACCAATGTATAAGGAAACCAGACTTCTTATTTGGTGACTCTATAAAGGATCCGACGATTGCTTTCTGCAAGCCTGCGCAGTGGTTACACGAGGATGATTCGTTATTCCTGTACTTGCTTTTTATCCCTCGAGAGCACTCACTATTAAAGTTCAGGAACTTATCGGTTGGACGTGAGATGTTCTGGAGGTTAACCGAAAACCACGAACGTATTCATTGTGGTTTCATTGGGAAGGAAGCCACCCCAGGTTCCAGTGAAAGAGCTTCTGTGCGGGGACTTCATCCGGGCATCTTAGGTCAAGATAATATTCCACAGAATGAAAAGACAGCACAGGCAAACACCGTGAAGAATCGTTTAGCTGCAATGAGGAAGAAATTACCCCACGAGAGCTTCAGATGTTATGGATGGGTCCATTATTCTGGGGACAAATGGTGGTGGACCAGAATGACTCGATATGTGTTGAACTGTTGGGGGCGAGAATTAGCAGAACTAGGGTTGGAAGTCCCGATCCGTGCCAGCATGCATGGTCTGCAAATTAGTGTAGGTCATTTCCTCCGTTTGTTCGAGATCTACAATCCTGACACTAATACGTTCTTCACCAAGAATGGGGAGCTCGGGTTACCATTGCACGAAATGATGAAGGTGTCTGGCTTGCCCATAGGCGATATTTCATATCAAGAGTTCTTCCCAACCACCAGTCAACTTAATAAGATGAAAGATCGGTCATCTGTGACCTATGAGACTTTATGGGAACTGACTTGTCATTATCATATAGCTATGGCTGAGATGGAAACCAAAGCTAGGAAGAAATCTCCCCACGTCAGCTTAAAGCAATTTGCCGATTATCTGTTCAAGAACCTGGAGGATCGATCGGAAGCTTTGAGCCCGGGTGACATCAATCGGCTGTTGGAGAAAACGAATGCACAATCTTACACTTCTCATTCAGAAGATGGGTTTTCACACAGAACTAAATTCTGCCCTTATCTGTGGCAAGCTAGTGTTCCGATTCGCCCCACTACTCTACTGGCTGGTTATTTGGCTTTATGGCTGAAGAGATGTGTAGTTCCCCATCAATCTTCTAATGCTATGCCAATGGAAGTGTTGTATCCAGCCGTCCAGTTGGCTACAGGTCGTAAATTATCCTTACTTCCGGCTATGGTGGCGGCTATTCACAGTGGATTACGGCAATTAGTTTCCGTATTCACACAAGAGAAAAAGAAGCCTTCCGCCAGTATATCTGCTCCGAAGCTGGAATTACCCTATACCTATTTGATGACATGGTTGGTTCTTCACCGGCCAGATCTAATGGAGGCTCCTGAGACGGTGGATCCTAGTCTTCCTCTTCTATAGACCCTTGAGGGTTGCAAGTGGATCAAACATCGATGGCCGGATATCACAAGGCACTTCAAAATTCACAAGTGTTGGGAATTCTTCCCATGCTTCCCTCGATTCTCCGGTACCTACAACACGACCTTATTGGATGCTGAAGACCCAAGGCAGAATCGCACCATCTTGGATGTCGGGTGCTTCAGATGGTTGATGAACATTCGACCTGGTTATTTATTATTCTGGGTAAGAGACGTTTGTCATATTACCAAATATACGTCGGCAATCCAAATCGTCACCTTAGCTTTCGAGGTGGACTTATCGACGGTGCGAGAGCTTGGTTTTGGAGTATCGCTGGCTGCACCAACGCTGAATTTGATCTTCCTTTAGAAGTGGCACCTCTACGGATGACCTTCCTGTTTTGCAAGTGGTTGATAGCCACCAATATCGTCACTCGACGTAGGAGAATATCAGATTCAGAGGAAGAGGTAGCTCCACGGCAAGCAACAGAAGTGACCTGTGAAGCTGTGATGTCGCCCCGAGGAAAAGAAGCTGCTGAATCCTCGAGAAAAGGAAAGGAACCGGCCTGCCCAACCGACAGTGAAGAAGAGTTTGATAGTGAAGAAATTGAAACTTCTGAGGGGACGGGTGAGGCTGATTCAAGTTCTGAGGAAGCAGCTGGCCTCCCCGATTCCTTCTTTGAGAGGGGACTTGTGCGCCCATCTGCTGCGCCTGCCCAACCACAGGATGCTCCAAAAAAAAGAAGAGAGAGAGTAGTCATGACCCATCCCAACCGGATGACGGTAGAGGTCCTCAGCGGAGATGAAGAGGATACAGTGCCTCTTGCTCATAGGCAAAGATCTCAATCTTCCACTCAGGCTCAAACTCAGATTCCTCCCGGAACTGAATTACGCACCAAACGTCGTCACGAAGGTTCTGAAGCACGTCCACCGAAGAGACAAAAAAATGTTGTCTCTAAGCCACGCGTTCATCTTCCTGTTCTAGAGGAGACGTCTGGTCGTAGTGCTTCTTCTGATGTTGTCTCTAAGCCACGCGTTCATCTTCCTGTTCTAGAGGAGACGTCTGGTCGTAGTGCTTCTTCTGATGAACAAGGTAACTATTTGTTTTTATTGTTCTCACGCTTCTTAACACTCAAACTCATCTTATTCTCAACTTCTGTAGGGAGTCAAGAAGAGGGAGAAAATCGAGTTGAAGCTGTTTCTCCTGGTGGTATGGAGACTGAGGAAACCAGCTTCGTCCAACAAATGCAGGACGCTCTGAAGGAAGGACCAGCTAGCGTTCCACCAATCTCTGACATTGATCCATTAGCTTCAAACACAGGTACTGATCTTTCTCCATTCGGAAGAGAAATCCGAGAAATGAATGAGTCGGACTGTGTGCCTCCTCTAATGACTTGTGCGCTTGGTCTCCTTTTAGTTAAACTAAAAGAAGCGGGTGCAAGTAGTGGAGCTCTCGACTCTGTCCCCGTCAACGAAGGTAAAATTAATCTTTGTCTTGAGCAAATTCGTCTAAATTTATATGTGATTTATGCCTTATATATATATATTTTTACTTGATTAATCCCGTAAGTGTTCGAATTATAGGACCAGTCATTAGAACTGATACAGCTATAATCACTGGGACGTCTGATACATCGGAGGGTCGTGACCTCGTGCCATGGGTGGGAACTGAGTTTGATTTGCAATCATCAGTTCTCGAATCTCAACCTGCTACTCCTATGGACCCCATGATGATAGAAGTCACCGTCACTCCCCAAATTAGTCCGGTTGCAACAAAAGCGAGACCAACTGAAGAAGTTGGTACGTCGGCCGATGTTGTGCCTAGAGTTGGTGAGTTTTGCCCATCATTTGTTTCAAATTTCGGATTAACTTCCCATCATGCTCATTGTAATCCTTCTGTTTGTAGAATCCCCTCTTAAGGAGCCTATTAACTTGGACCCGAAGTTCTCTGAAGTTGAGATTGAAAAATCTTCTGACGTAGCAGGTACGTCAAAGGCTGTCAGTCCTGAACCAACTTTGGCTGTTCAGGAGGCCGGACTACCACTATTGGGTGAACAAAGTCATGCTGAAGGCTCTTCTGTTAAATTTGGTATGCTTCAACTTGCCGTTATGCATGCACACATACATTTTGTACTAACATATTTGTCCTCATCACAGCTCCTCCTTCATCATTATCAGACCGCATACAAGCATTATTGGCGGACGAAGACCCCGATAAAGCTGTCATTTGTTCTGATCTCCAAGGCTTTGTCCATTTTTTGAATACCATGATCGATCGCATTCTCTTCATAGGGTCACCTTTTGAGAATTTTAAAAGACCTCTTGATCACTACATATCGGAAATTAGAGAGGAAGGATATGGTGAGTTAGCCGATTTGCTCAGTGCTTATTTGGTCGACTTGAGGCAACATGTTGAACTTCTGAAGGATTTCCGCACCAAAGGCGTACCCTCCTATATCGCTTCTCAAATGGACTCCAGGTTGCAAGTGTGGCGCGATTCTCAAACATCTGCTAACTCTGAACTCCAAAAGCTAAGAGCCCGCAGTAATCAACTTAGGGTGAGTGTTGGCAGAAAAACACAAGCCAAGGTCAATCGGTATCGGGACTTAGAGTCGAGTCAGGCTGAGATAGCTCGCTTGGAAGAACAACTTGCAAAGGCCAATGATGCTCACGAAATTTTGGAGTCCGATTTGGCAAAAATAACTCAAGCTGAAGAAAGCTTATTTCAGCAACTGAATATTCAGGATCAGATACTTGCTGAGAAGGAGCGAGAGGTCGCCGAACTTCAGAGTGTTGATGAAGAAGCTTTCAAAGTTAAATTGACGGCTAAGCTTGAACATGCTTATGCGTTAGAGCTTTCAAAACTTGAAGATCAGATTAGTCAATATAAACTTTTGTAATTGGAGAACATATATATATATTTTTTAGCTTTGTTTGAACACTCTTGGTCAATATATTGAATCCTTTTGCTTATTAAGATTTTATTATGATTACTCATTCTTGTTTAAAATAAATAACCATAATACTTATAGGATTTTTGGCAAATCCTCAGCCATCAACGGATTTGATATGCCTTTACCAACTACCGTTTGAGTCGGGCTAGTATGTGAATTATCTAAATCCGTTTCACATATAACGTTGCGCTAAAAGAATTAAACTCTTTTAGACTTTGAACTACACTGTTGAATATGTAGGCTACATGTGTTAGATGTAGGCTTATCTCTAATAAGGGATAGAGATAACATCCCCCATGTGATATGGATTTTAAAGTGTGAATAGGTTGCGCTTCCTATATAGGACAACGAACCCGAAATCAGAGAGGAAGAATTTTATATTCTATCTCCCGGTCTCTTGTTTGTTGGTAGAGATAAACCCAGAATTGGAGAGGAAGAATTTTATATTCTATCTCCTGGTCTCTTGTTTGTTGGTAGAGATGAACCCGATGATGGAGAGGAAGAATTTTATATTCTATCTCCTGGTCTCTTGTTTGTTGGTAGAGATGAACCCGATGATGGAGAGGAAGAATTGTATATTCTATCTCCTGGTCTTTTTTTTGTTGGTAGAGATGAACCCGATGATGGAGAGGAAGAATTTTATATTCCATCTTTCAATCTCTTGTTTGTTGGTAGAGATGAACCCGAAATCGGAGAGGAAGAATTTTATATTCTATCTCCTAGTCTCTTGTTTGTTGGTAGAGATAAACCCAAAATCGAAGAGGAAAAATTTTATATTCTATCTCCTGGTGCAAAGGAAAACTCAAAGTGGGATCTCCACTTAAAGAATCTGGATTGGTTTGAATAATCCTAACTGTCATAAGGTTTGATTACTCAACTTGAAAATGGACCTCTTGTTCGTAGAATGAATCAAGAAGAGATTTTGGCTTTGGTCCTAATTGTAGTAAGGTTTGATCAAGTGGGAGCTGAGATAATTTTACCTCTAATAGGCTAAATTGTTCAAATGGAATTGAGATCTTTTCATTCGTCGAAAAGGAATCTCAGTTTTTAAAAGTGAACCTCTCGTTCAAGAAAGGAATCGAGTGGAGATTTTGTGGTGCGGGGTTGTGAATCGTCGAGCCTCCCCCACAATTGTACTATGGGTATCCTGAATATATTACGGATAATATTTTTTCAGGAACTTCCCATTTATTGGCATCATTAACTTGCTACTATCCTGGGTAATCAGGCGATAGGCACCATTTGAATAGACTGTTTCTATTACAAACGGTCCTTCCCATTTTGGTTCAAATTTTCCTTTCTTTTTGGAGTTGAGGATCATAGGCCGTCTTTCAGCTAGAACCAAATCCCCTTCTTTGAAACTCCGTTGTCGAACCTTCTTATCGAAAGCTCGGGAAATTCTGGCTTGGTAGAACTTAATATGCTGTTGAGCTTCTAAGCGTTTTTCGTCGAGCATCTCGAGTTCTTCGAGACGTTTTTGATGTTGGTCTTCGGTTGTCATCTGGGTTGCGAGAGCAATCCGAAGAGATGAAATTTGTATTTCCAATGGAAGAACGGCTTCACATCCGTATACCAACGAATACGGGGTCGCTCCCGTCGGTGTACGTACCGTGGTACGATAGGCCCATAAAGCCGCGCCAAGCTTGTCATCCCAATCTCGTTTATTTGTTTTCACGAGTTTTGACAAGAGTTTTATGATTGTCTTATTGAAGGCTTCAGCCAATCCATTTGCTGTGGGATTGTAAGCTGTCGACGAAACGTCCTGAATTTTGAACTTCTCGCAAAACCTGATGAAGGCGTTGCTGATGAATTGAAGACCGTTGTCATGTATGATTCGTCTTGGGACACCATGCCGGTAGATGATATGGTGTTTGATGAATGCAATGATGTTATTCGTTTTAACTTCTCTGAGTGGAATCGCTTCAGCCCATTTAGAGAAGTAATCGGTGATTGCTAGGATGAACCGATCACCTTTGACTGACGGGGGATTTATAGGACCAACAATATCCATTCCCCAAGTCTTAAACGGCCATGATGTTGCTGACGGGTGTAGATACTCTGGAGGCTGGTGCATATAATTTGCGTGTAATTGACATGCTTGACATCGTTGGGCATACTCAGCTGCGTCCTTTATCATAGTTGGCCAATAATATCTCATTCTTCTAAGTCGGTCACAGAGCTTAGGACCGGGTTGATGTGCACCACATGTCCCCTCATGCGCCTCTATGAGTGCTTGTTCTGCTTCCTTATTGGATAGACAACGGAGTAATAGACCGTCGTACGACCGTTGGTACAACATTTGTGATTCAGCGTTGTAGTAAAATCTCGGTGCTCTCCGCCGAATCGAATCCCTTTCTTTTACGTCTTCCGGTAAGATACCGTGTAAGACATAATCAATAATAGGGAAACGCCAATCTCGAACTTCAGGTTCAACTCCTGTTGAATATGCTTCTTTGGCAACCGAATCGTAGATAGGGACGATAAGTTGGTGAGTTCTCACTGTGATTAATTGTTCTGTCTCGAGAGGCTGAGCCAGAGATACCGACAATGCCGCCAATGCGTCTGCGTATGTATTTTGGAGACGCGGAATGTACTCGATGAAAAATTCTTCAAACGAGCTTGCCACCTCAATGGCCACCTGGTGGTATGCAATCAGGTCTTGATTTCTGACTTCATACTCTCCTCGAATCTGATTAACTATCAGTTGAGAATCTCCAAAAGCTTCAAGGTATTCGACCCCCAGCTCTTTGGCAAAATTGAGTCCAATTATCAATGCATTGTACTCGGCTACGTTATTAGAGCATGGTTCGGTCAACGAGTATGCTCTAGGTAAGACATGCTTTCCCGGGGAAACTAAAACGACCCCCACTCCTGAGGAGATTTTAGAACATCCGGGTGCGCTCGCCACGTTGGTTGCTCGGGAAGCCCCGTCGAAGTATAATTGCCACATTTGTTGATGTGAGGTGGTATTAACTTCGTGAGTTTCGTCCGGCAGGTCGTCGTACAACTCAACTACATCTTTTGTAGGATTTTCCGCTAAAAGATCGCAAATAGCTCTTCCTTTAACTGATTTTTGTTGTTTGAAGTATAAATCATATTGCGATAGAAGTAGAGCCCACCTGGCTAGACGCCAATTCATAGAGGCCGGTTGGGTCATGAATACTCGGATGGGATTTATGTTGGAAATGACATAGATTGTCTGTCCAATCAAATAATGTCGCATTTTCTGAATCGCGAATACCAAGGCGAGGCATTCCTTCTCAATCATCGGATAACGAGACTCAGCTCCTACCAATGTACGACTCAAATAATACACAGCTTGCTCGTGACCGTTATCGTCGTCTTGTGCAAGTAATGCACTTAACGAATGGCTCGTCCCTTTGACATAAATCAAAAACGGTCTGCCGGATTTCGGGGCAACGAGAATAGGTGGATTCGCCAGATATTTCTTAATATCCTCGAATGCCTTTTGGCATGCTTCATCCCAAACGAATGACACGCCTTTCTTCGCGAGCTTAGAGAACGGTTGACATTTTCCAGACATATTTGATATAAACCGACGGATGTATGCCAGTCGACCTTGCAACCCTCTGAGTTCTTTAAGATTTCTCGGGGGTTGTAGTTCATGTATTGCCTTCACCTTATCAGGATCAATATGAAACCCTTTTGTGGTAACGACGAATCCCAGAAATTTACCGGTCGACATTCCAAGGAAGGATTTAGTCGGGTTCATTTTTAGCTGATGAATTCTCATAAGCTCGAACATTGTCTTCAGATCGTTAATGTGGTCATTTTTATCCCGACTCTTAACGACCAGGTCATCAACGTAGCATTCGACGGTCTTCCGGAGGTGCTCTTGAAAGATCTTCGTCATTGCTCGTTGGTATGTAGCACCGGCATTCTTCAAACCGAATGGCATAATAGTATAACAAAAGACACCTAGGGGTGTTCTGAATGCTGTATGTTTTTCATCATCCGGGTGCATCTTGATTTGATTATACCCAGAAAATCTATCCATGAATGACATTCTTTCAAACCCGCATGTGTTGTCAATGATGACATCCGTAATCGGTAGAGGAAAGTCGTCTTTGGGGCAGGCCATATTCAGATCTCTGAAGTCGATACAGATTCTGATTTTTTCGTTCTTTTTAAGGACTGGAACAATATTGGCCAACCATTCAGGATGTTGTTCTTCTCTGACAAAACCCGAATCAATCAACTTCTTGACTTCAGCTTCTATTGCCTCCATAATTTGCGGACGAAACCGTCTTTGTTGTTGTTTGACAGGTTTAACATCCGGTTTAATGTTAAGGCTGTGCATTGCTACATTTGGGTCGAGTCCAGGCATATCTTCGTAATTCCAGGCGAAAACGTCGATATACTCTCTAATGAGGGCGATTAGCTCCTCTTTCTCATCTGGTGGAAGATCACCGCTAATAAATATAGGTTTCGGATTATTTTCGTTACCCATATTAACTTGGACGACTTTATCCTCTGTGGGAGGTTCTCTTTGCTCAAATCGATCACCGTATTGGATATTCATGTAATGTATCCAAGGATCTTCCCAAGTGGGTAACTGATCGTCTCCTTCTGTTGTGGAAGGATCGACTGTTGCCATGTTTGTCATGAGACTTTTAAACCTTTCCCCAATGCTCACATCAGAATCCCTGGTTGAAGCATCGGATGAATGCCCACTCCTATTTATCAATTGGCTGATGATTTGCTGGTAATCTTCGTCGTCAGACGATGAAGCATAACCTAGACCCCTTTTACGACTGTAATAATTATCTGGTTTTCCTTTTGGTACATAGGCAGGACGGGGTGGAACCCTAATACCTTCACCAAAATAAAGACCTTCACCGAGTGAGAGGTCATAGCCTTGCTTTGTCATGTAGCCATTTGCTTGTGAACTATACCGAGAGAAATGTCACCCGGGTTTTTCTTCGTCCGAATTAATGTCCAAGAAATGATCTGGAGTAGGGGATGGTTCCCCTTTTCCAAAGACTATCTCTTTTTCACCCCCTGTCTTCGCGGGTAGTATCATAGTTGTTCCGAATGAAGTTTGGAGGTGTTTCGTCGTCGTACAAGACGAACGAAGTGGCATATGTAGACTAGGATCGTCATACAATTTCTACATTACATCATCGAGACAACGCGAGTACTCTAAATCATGATTTATTATTTCATCGGCAAGCTGTCAGTTACAACTTTCGTCCGACGATTCATCACCGTCAAGATCGATTACAAGAGGTTCAATGTCATTTAGTACAAGACCTTCACTATAATCGAGCCCGGCTTCGGTACCAGCTTCTTCTCCGCTGTCCATGCCATGGGCCGATGGTTCAGTATCGGACTCAGCACCATAAAGAAGGGAGTCAGTAAAGTAATTTTCTAACCCCTTGAATGGTTGCTTATCCGCGACCACCGTCTTGACCTCCTCATTAGTGTCGACATATTTCAAACACTGATGGAGGGTGGAGGGAACTATAAGATTACCGTGGATCCATGGACGACCCAACAGTAAGTTATAGGAAGTCTCCGCATCGATCACATAGCAGGTGACTTCAGACTTCAGATCTCCGAGTTGACACTTCACCCGGATTTTTCCCAACGGTCGTGACCCGCTTGTGTTGAAACCATAGATAACCGTTCCAGTGGAGGCTAACTTGCTGGCGGGAATTCATCAACCGAAGTGGCATGATGCTAACAGCGGAACCCGGATCAACTTGGATCCGATTGACAACGCTTGAGCCAATATATCCGGTGAAATATAGAGGCCTATCATGTTTTGAATTTTTAACTTGCATATCTTCTTTGGTAAAAGCTATGCAAGGGAATCTCGTAGCTGCCAAGTTACAGTGCTGAACCGACGACTCTGGCTCTTCAGGAGTTGACTTAATTTGGGTGAGGAATACTTCAGAATCAGCTAACGCTTCTTGTAGAGCTTCTCTGGTATCCTTTGAGAGACGTAATAATTCGTATAGCGTGATCCTTGCTGGGATATTAGCTAACTGAGGACGACTCTGGCTCTTCAGGAGTTGGCTTAATTTGGGTGAGGAATACTTCAGAATCAGCTAACGCTTCTTGTAGAGCTTCTCTGGTATCCTTTGAGGGACGTAATAATTCGTATAGCGTGATCCTTACTGGGATATTAGCTAACTGAGCCATGACGTCAAAACGGTAGGGAGCGTTTGAGCTTTCCGGTTTATCTCATCCAATTGGTCGGTTGAAACGAGACTGCTTCGGAACTTGAACCTCTTTGCGTTGGGGTTCCTTCTCTTTTTGCTTAGCCGGTTGTTGCGGCTTTTCAGCAGCTACTGGAGGAGTTGCAACTACCCCCAGCTCTTTCAGAGTTGTGGCATTTGGGTTAGAGGTTTCAGGATATTTATAATGGTATTCATTCCCACCTCTTGTAGCGAAAACTTCCTGTTCCCCCTCAGAAAGTGATAAAGCTGAGATTTCTTCATCATCTTTCTCAGGAATTGCCGAGGCTCCGTAACAAGTTTTTTCTTTTCCTTTGCCTTTCACTTTCTTCTTTGACGTGGATGTCGTCCATTGTTCATCTTCAAGCAAATCCGGATGAACCCAAAGGATTTCACTGTTGGGGGTTGTGTGAGATACAAGCCCCTTTTGGCGCTGTCCATGAGGATCATCGTTGATGGTTTGCATCTTGACCTTTGATACCGGTTCGGCTTGAAACCAGGATAAAGGAACTAATCCGAAGCTGATAGATACTGCATTCTCCCCTACTTTCTTCTCTTTCGGCTTCGGTGTCACGATGCCAACATCGATTAAGGTTTGTATTTTGTCCTTTAAGACATAACACGCCTTAGTGGGATGGTGGACCCTTCTGTGATATGCACAATACTTCGGGTCATTGATCTTCGTTGCTTCTTCTTGGTTTGTGACCGGTGGAAGCTTGATCTTGTTATTCTCTAGCAGGTATTTGAAGATGACCGAAACTTCATCATCTTTGAAAGAGTATTCTTTCGGGAATCTAGGCTCCGAAGTCTTGGGTTGCCTCGGAGGTTGTTGATTCTGATTTGGCGCCAGTTGGAAAGACGATTGCTGCGGTTGTTGTGATGTTTGATGAGCATCGACAGCTGCCGCAGACCCTCTTCCTCGGCCTCGAGGATTAA